GATGTACGCCATGGTGTGTACACGTCCAGATATTTCACAGGCGGTTAGTGTGGTCAGCAGATTCATGGCGAATCCGGGAAAGACACACTGGGAAGCGGTGAAATGGATCCTGAGGTACTTGAAAGGTACCGCGGATACGGGTCTGTGTTTTGGTGGAGATACATGTCAGGTCGACGGGTATATGGACTCAGATTATGCAGGCAATCTAGATAGACGGCGATCTACTACTGGTTATGTATTCAGGATACATGGAGCGCCAGTTAGTTGGCGATCGATGTTGCAGGTTACAGTGACACTTTCTACAATAGAGGCCGAGTACATGGCTATGACGGAGGGAGTGAAGGAAGTATTATGGTTGTGGGGTCTTCTAGAATATTTGGGGATTGAGTAGAAGAGTGTGAACTTGTGGTGCGACAGTCAGAGTGAGATTCACTTGGCGAAAAATCAAGTTCACCATGCTCGTACCAAACATATCGACGTCAGATATCATTTTGTACGGGATGTCATAGAGGAAGGTGATATTTCTCTCATGAAGGTGTATCGACGTCAGATATCATTTTGTACGGGATGTCATAGAGGAAGGTGATATTTCTCTCATGAAGGTGCATACGAATGAGAATCTCGCTGACATGTTTTTCTCTCATGAAGGTGCATACGAATGAGAATCTCGCTGACATGTTAACCAAGGTGGTCACAGGTAGCAAATTCCAGCATTGCTTGGACTTGCTTCATATCAGCCTGTGTTGATTTGCCCAAGAGGGCATGGCCCTGCGGGGTGGTGATGGAGGTGAGGTGGAGACTATGTTGGAGAATAATTGCAGAACTACGGTTAGCTTGATCCCGATGGAGGGTACGTAGGCAACCGCGGTATAGTGGCGCAGCTGGTTTGACCTGGTTTGGCCTGTATCTCTCTGGTGGAGTTCGTGGGGGGTTCTTCTGGTGTTCGTCCAAAATTTAAGGATTATCAAATAATGTACGAGGTGGAGAATTGTGATCAGGTGGGGCCCACCCACGTGGGTCTGCCCATCGACGAGGTGCCGCCGCACCGCTTCGCATGCGCCGCGCGCAAGCAACGCCTAGCCTGCTACCACATGAGCCCACGCGCACTACGCGCGGCCACCGCGCCGCCTACATGAAACCCGCTTGGGTTTCGTGCTCGTGTCCTGCTTCCCGTGCGCGCGCTCCTCCTTTCTGAGCCCGCCATAACACTTCGGGTTTTCTCCTATAAATAGGAGGTGGTTGTGTAGTGTTTTTGAGTGTGGGGAAAAATCTCATGTGGAGTTTTGAGAGAAAAGAAAGAGAGAACTTGTATAAGTTTGGTATTTTTCCTTCATAGTGAAACCCCCTCCCGTGAACGTAGGCTAGTTAGCCGAACCACTTAAATCTTGTGTTTGTATTTGTCTTATCTGTGAGTTGCCATAGCTTGTAGTTTCCCTCGACATTTCAGTCCTAGAACTGATGAGAGGAAGAGTGTATATTTCACTTTGATGAAATATATCATTTTCGATTCTTGTTTCCTTTGAGAAATAAGAATTTCACTATCTATTCTAGTTTCCTTTGAGAAACAAGAATATAGAGGTTGACTTGTGTGCTTTTGTGACAATAAAAGCCAGGGTTATCTCTCAGGTGATATCGCTTCCGCAGCGTGAGGGTGTGACTCTGCGCCCAACAAATATAAAATTAATTATATTATATTATTTAAATATATTACAATATAATATTATTTTCCTAATATATTGATATTATATATTATATTATTTAAATATATATTACAATATAATATTATTTTTCTGATATATTGATACTATATTTAATACCATTAATTAATAATACATATAATATTAGATGACTTATAGTCTAAATAATAAAATATTAACAAACTAATTATATATTATAAAGTAAACAACTTATTAATGATAAATTAGATATACTGTAGAAATATTAATTTAATAATAATAATATGAATATATTATATAATAAATAATAATATATTAATATAATAATAATAATATGAATATATTATATAATAAATAATAATATATTACGTTATAAAATATTAACAAACTAATTATATATTATAAAGTAAACAACTTATTAATGATAAATTAGATATACTGTAGAAATATTAATTTAATATTATTATTATTATCATTATATAATATTATATTACTATAAAAATAAAATGTTAATAAATTATTATTAATAAAAGTTAATATATTAATAACAATAACATATTTATATTAAAAATGATTAAATATATTTATATTTGGAAATAATATTTGAGTATTAAAATGTAATATATATTACAATTATGTATAGTATATAACACTGTAATCTATTACTTATATATAATATTATAATATGTTAATTATGCTATAATATTATAATTTGTTAATTATAATCTTATAATATTATAATTAACATATTATCTATATAATATGTTAATTATATATATAATATTATAATATAGTAATTAATATTTAATATTATTAATAACATGCTTACTATTAATATTACAAAAGGTTAAATTATTGTTGACCAAAAACACTTATCATGACGTTTTGAAAATATTTTTGAAAAAAAATACGATGGTGTTTTAAAAACACCATACAAAAATCACCATGGTATCCAAACAAACCTAGATTTTTGCTTGCTAGAGCTGGCAATATTGACCTCGGGGAAAAACAAACTACCTTATCGTGGACTCAAATAAAGTCTTGTACATACCCGGTGATCATCAATTTTGCCCACTCTCATGATAACCATCTTCTTAATGCGTGGCTTACAACTGCCATTACTTTTTAGTGATCAATGGCATGACCTTATGCATAATTGTGAGGAAATTTTTTCCTAGAAATCACCTTTAAAAAAGGTTATTATATGAAAACCACATTTTAATATCAATTTATATGTAAACCACATTTGAAGTGGGTTTGTGTTGCAATCAACCACTTCTGAATCTAATTTTCACTAAAAAAACTAAAAATATCATTAAAAATTCACGTTCATGATACGGGACTTGTATCTTAATTAGACCAAAACATTGATGAAATGAGTCACAGCCTCAAATGTGAATTTTTAAGGTATTTTTAAGTTTTTGTAAAAATAATTTGACTGGAAAGTGGTTGATTTCAACACAAAACCATTTTAAATGTGGTTTATGTATAAATTGATAGTCAAAGATGGTTTTTATATGATGATCCTGTTTTGAAGGCAGTTTGTAGGAGAGAACCCTAAATGTAATATCACCATTATTTTTCTTTTATAATCCATAAAGTGTATATGTGACCATAAGATCTATTTTTCCTCTGTACATTTGCTAATGACTCTCTAAAGTGATTTGTAAACCGCATCACATTCTTATGCATGCTTTTCATGTAAATCCAACAAGAAGCTCATATAAGCCTCATGAAAAGGGATTCGGATCCTCTCCACTATAAAAAAAAACAGTGGAGGGACCACTACATAATCACAGCCATTAATTATCTAGTTAATGGTTGTGATTTTTCTTTTAGTGCAAATTAGGAATGAGTGAAATACACGGGGGTATGGTAAGTGTTAAATTTAGATTGTATCATAACCACCTACTAAATAATCAACGATTAAGATTAAAAGCAGTGGTCTCTCCACTACTTTTTTGTAGTGGAGAGGATCCAAATCCCATGAAAAGTGCATATTGTTTAACCATTTGAATATTCTGATCTATTAGTAGATTTCTCTCATTTAGATATTAAAATTCTCTAGCTGTACATTAACCAAATATCTCAGTTCTATAATTCTTCTGGATCTTCTAGATATTTTTATTTTCTTCATACATGACATATTCTTTCTAATTCTAACAATGAAAACGATTGAGGACGCATTCAGAGAGTTCACCTCGAAGGATGACATTGCGGTCGTGCTGATAAGTCAATATGTAATTTTTTTTCTCATATAGTTATTATTTGATTTCTGCATCCAAGCATGCGTAGCTCTTGGATTGTCATCTCTATGTTGTCTAAAGTATTTTTGCTTATATAAGGATATAAATATTGAATTTAGCCATTATTTTAAATATTTCATATATAGCCCGTTATATCGGATGTGACATCCTTTTAAAAGACTTGCTGCAAAGCAATATGGTCTCAATACCCTTTACAATTTTTTATATTTTTTGGCGATATATCTCCGACATGGCTGATATATCAGCCGATATGTTGGCGGATATATTCTTTTATATAGCTTGTCGCGAAACAATATAATTCTGGAAAATGGATTTTTTTTTTGAAAAAGACCTTTTTGCTAAATAATTAGCAAAACCGACCGTTTTGCTAATTATTTAGTAAAAACGACCTTTTTTTGGCCAGGCCAAAAGAGGTCGGTTTTGAAAAACTGTTCATTCGAAATATACGAGACTACTAGTCTCATATGTTTAAACCATTAATTACTAACTAATAATCACGCCACAAAATCTACGGGACTAGTAGTCCCGTAGATTTTGTTGCTTAAGCATGACCCCAACCCCGAAGTCCTCCTTTTCCACTTCTTCGACATCTCCAGAGCTCCAAGAACAAGAATCCCTCTCCACCTCCACCGCCTCCCTCCCCTTCCCCCGTTCTGCTTTCTCAATCCTCGCCAATTCCTCCTCCTCCTCCTCCATCCCTCCCTCCTCCCTCCATTCCCTCTTTTCCCTACCCTCAAACGCTAACCTTATTCTTGATCTCCTCCTCCATCACGGCCCCTCCATCGTCTCCTTCCTCTTCGACGCCACGGATCTAGTCTCCTGGCTCCACTTCTTGACCGACTACAACAAGTGCTCCTCTCGGATGCCTGCCTCCTCATCCCTCAACCTAGTCTTCAAACTGTACTTTGAATTGTGCGATCGAGCTCAGATCCCTTACAAATTGGAGTTCGATTCGGGGTCTAACAAGGTCGGGGGGTGCTTAGGGCTTCGGCGGATCTGATGGTGCTGTTTGTGATTTAATGGGCGATGGAGAGGTCTTGGAGGGTTGGGAACAAGAATGAACTTGCTGGGGTTGCTGGAGATGTTCGATTTTGAGGATGTTGGCAGGGGCCCAGTTGAAGAAGAGCCAGGCCTTTTGCATGGGGGGTGGGTTTTGAGGACTTGGTTGATGGTGAAGGAGTCCTAGTGGATGGGGAGGGAGAGGAGGTAGGACTGGGCGGTGGACCACGGGGAGGAGTGGAGGGGAGGAGGATTTGAGCCAGAAGAGGGAGAGGACTTGGGGGGTTCGGGGTTGGAGTAGTGGTTAAGCAACAAAATGTACGGAACTAGTAGTAAATCTACGGAACTAGTAGTCCCGTAGATTTTGTGGCATGATTATTAGTCGGTAAGTAATAGTCTAAACATACGGGACTAGTAGTCCCGTATGTTTCGAATGGGTAGTTTTTTAAAACTAACCTATTTTTAGTCTGTTGGCTAAAAAGAGGTCGTTTTTGCTAAATAATTAGCAAAACGGTCGGTTTTGTTAATTATTTAGCAAAAAAGGTCTTTTTAAAAAAAAAACCACTTCTAGAAAATTACTTTAATACTTTTTTAGTGAAAGTTCTATCCTTATGAATCTTCTTAGTGAAATTGTAGTATGCTCTTTTCGCTAAGTACCTTTGTAAAATTGGCTAGTGATCATAAACTTATATTATTTACATTCTTTTAGGCTTAGATTTCATAAAGTATGTTTATATTATATTTTAGGATATTATATTATATATGCACATTATCCGTTATAGCATTCCAATATCTATTACGTATCCCCCATATTTTCCTAATATTCACAATCTGATATGGATTTTGGTCATCCGGCATTTCTTCGATATCTGATTTTTTAAAACCTTTAATTTAGCAATAGGCTTTTGTTATTTTTGACTTTGAATTCAAAACTCACCAACCCTATTACTATTCCACCAACACAAAACATTATTCCACCAACCCAAAATATTGTTCCACCGACCATTTTGAAAGCTATAAATAGAGGAGAGTGATGAAGGGTTAGAGCATCAAATAGAGATCCACAACAGAGAGAAAAGGAAAGAGAGAGTTGAAGAGAAAAAGCAAAAAAGAGAGTTTTATTTGAGTGTTCTCTTCTTTGTGTGAGTTTGGTGAGATATTTGAGTGACCTCTCTTTGTAATTTTCTCTTTTATAATTAGTGAACTTCTCTGTTGTTCTCGCCCGTGGACGTATGTCATATTGACTGAACTACATTAAATCCTTATGTGATATTCTCTTTGTCTTTACTGTATTTATTCAGTGTTGTTATTATCCACTTTTATATGGACATATTCTGTGTCTGTGAAGCCCCCGCTCCAACAAACTAGTATCAGAGCTTGGCTTAGGACACTGGACACTATTTACGAGTATAGTATTGTTCACAAGTACCGTTACGATTCATAAATATGGTTACTATTCTAGTAGACTTCAAGATGTCTTCTGTAAAATACAAAATAAAGAAATTCGATGGGAGAAACAGCTTTAGTTTGTAGAGAGTAAAAATGAGGGCTCTCCTAGTATAACAAGGAATGTTCATAATCTTGTCCAGAAAGTACAAGTTGCCGGATTTTATGCCCGATGATGAGAAAGAAGAGCTAGAAATAAAGGTGCATAGTGTCATATAGCTCTGTTTGGTCGATGAGGTTCTGTAGGAGGTTGCCAATAAAAATACCACTGCCGGCTTATGGCTCAAGTTGGAGAGATTGTACATGACGAAATCTCTAACGAACAAGCTCTACTTAAATCAACGCCTCTTCACCCTTCGCATGAAGGAAGGTATGCGGATTAATGACCATTTAGATGAACTTAACACTATTCTTATGGATTTAAAGAATATTGATGTTAAATTTGATGAAGAAGATCAAGCCCTTATTTTGTTATGTTCATTACCTCCTTCCTATGAGAATTTTGTAAATAACATGTTATACGGTAAAGATACATTTTCTTTGGAGGATGTCAAATCATCCTTATATTCAAAAGAGTTAAGGTAGAAAGTGTCTGTCGTAGGAGGAGAGATCAAGCTAAAAGCTTTTCACTCGTGGGCGTCTTGAAAAGGATGTTGGTGGTAGAGCTAAATCCAAAAATATGTCTAGATTAAAGTCCAGGCCAAGAAAAAATATTGAATGTTATTATTGTCACAAGTATGGGTATATAAAACCTAATTGACCAGCGCTCAAAGCAAAGAATAATTCACAGTCAAAGTCTAGGGAGGTAAAACCTTCAGTTGCCACTGTAACTGAATAGTCTTTTAGTTCACATAAAGTTCTTTTTGTTAGTGTTAGTACTCATTCACAAGATGAGGGGGTTCTTGATTCGGGTTGTTCCTATTATATGTGTCCATATAGGGATTGGTTTGTCACATATCAATCTATTGACAGTGTGAATGTCTTGTTGGGAAATAACATGCCTTGCAAGACTGTTGGTATCGGGTCAATTAAGATTAGAACCCATGATGGTATTGTTAGAACATTGATCAATGTTCGACATATACCAAAGTTAAAGAAGAACCTCATTTCTTTAGGCAACCTTGATTCAAATAGTTTTAAGCTTTTGGCTGAGTGTGCAGTTTTGAGAGTTAGTAAAGGCTCTCTTGTTGTGATAAAGGAAAGAAGATAAATACCATCTATGTCCTTGAAGGCAGCACAGTGACAGGTGTTGCAGAGTATCATTCTTAGAGGATTCAAATTTCAACAATACACGTTTGTGGCATATACAGTTAGGGCATATGAGTGAGAGGGGACTAGATGTATTGAGCAAACAAGGTCTGCTTTGTCGTCAGAAAACTAGTAAGCTAGACTTTTGTGAGCATTGTATTTTTAGAAAATATCATAGAGTCTCCTTTAGTACCAGTGTCCATAGAATCAAGGATACTTTAGATTATATCTATTCAGATGCTTGGTGTTCCTCTCAAGTTCCATCGAAATGTGGAGCTTATTTTCTGCTAACATTGATTGATGATTATTTCAGAAAAGTTTGGGTGTATCCTTTGAAGCATAAGAGTGATGTGTTTGCAAAAGCAATGAAATGTTATGATTAAGAAGCAAACAATAAAGAAAATGAAGCGTCTCATAACCGACAATAGGATGGAGTTTTATTCCGTAGAGTGTAACCAATTATGCAAGAATGAAGGTATTATACGTCATTGTACATTTTTAACATACACCACAGCAAAATGGAGTTGCAAAAAGGATGAATAGAACACTTTTAGAGAGAGCTCGGTGCATGCTCTCTAATGCCGGTTTGTCAAAAGACTTTTGGGCCAATGCAATCAATACAACTTGTTACTTATAAATAGATCTTCTTCTACAGTAATTGATTTTAAGATTTCAGAAGAGGTATGGTCTGGTACCCCTGCTAATTACTCTCATTTAAGAGTATTTAGTTGCTATGCTTATGTAACGCATCGCCCCGGAATCCCGGAGTCGGTATGCTATTAGATCTGATGGACTGACCTCACAAACCATCACATGTCTTTTCAGCACGTTTTGTCCTCACTCGCGCACTCCCTGGAAAACTTCCTAGTGGGTCACCCATCGTAGAATTTCTCCAGGCAAAACACGTTTAACTTTAGAGTTTCTAAGAGTTGGGTTTCCGAAAAGAAGATGCATCTTGGTGGTATGAGTATTCCAATCAAATCTATCAATACTAATCACATTACCCTCTCAAGGATTGGAGTATTTCAAACTCCCCCACTTAAACTCGCAACGTCCTCGTTACGACAAATCATATCATCCAAGACCGTACCATCCGTGTGAGATTCTAGAAGTGGCTCCTACGGCCTCAAGAGGTGTCTCCCGTCCTCTCGACGTAGCATTTTGCGCCGCATAGCACTTAGCTCTCACAATTCTGGTTGGCTTTGCTTTGATACCATTTGTAACGTCCCGCCCTGGAATCCCGGAGTCTGTACGCAATTAGATCTGATGGACTGGCCTTACAAACCATCACATATCTTTTCAGCACGTTTTGTCCTCACTCACGCGCTCCCTGAAAAACTTCCCAGGGGGTCACCCATCCCAGAATTTCTCCAGGCCAAGCACGCTTAACTTTTGAGTTTCTAAGAGTTGGGTTCCCGAAAAGAAGATGCATCTTAGTAGTATGAGTATTCCAATCAAATCTATCAATACTAATCACATCACCCTCTCAAAGGTTGGGGTATTACAGCTTATTTTCATGTTAATGATGGTAAACTTGAACCCAGAGGAAAGAAAGCTATCTTTTCTAGGATATGCTATTGGAGTGAAGGGATATAGATTGTGGTGTTCTGATCCCAAATTACCTAAATTAGTAAGGATGTTATTTTTGATGAAAAATCCATGCTTCACCCGAGAAAAGAGTTTGTTATTGATACCATAGGCACTAAAAGAAGTTTAGCAAGCAGGTGGAGTTAGATAGCTCGGCTTCAAAGAGAGTGCTTAAGGGCGCTCCTGTTGAACCAGATGATATTACAGAAGGTTCAACTTCAGATGTTGACACACCACAAGAGCAATAGTACAATATTGCCATCGAGAGAACAAAAAGGCAGATCTGACCTCCTCAATGCTATGCAGACATGCTTGCTTACTCTTTGAGTATAGCAGAATCGATTGAGATTTCAAAACCTTCTACATATAAGGAGGTTATTAGTGACAGTGAGGCTGCAAATTGGACTGTTGTGTTAACTGAAGAGATAAAGTCTCTTCACAAGAACCAGACATATGTAGGATCTACGGAAGAACACACTAAACACTAGAGGGGGGGTGAATAGTGTTATGTAAAATTTTTGCAAGATGGGTTATAAATTGTAAGAACAAATGATAACAATCACAAAAATTGATCAATCACAAACAAGAGCTTTTAAATTGAGATTTTCATTATGATTTTAAAACCAATTACAAAATCAAACCAAACCTGACCAATTTGCAAGTCCCTACAAATTGTAAATAATCTCTAAACCAAGATATCTTCTTTCACACTTTGAGAGAAATCTTCTTTAAAGAAAGAACACAAATTCCTATAAGCCTTGAAGTGTTAGTGAAGTGCAGCAGTGGCTTAAGAACTTTTTCACTCTCTGAATAATGCCTAAATAATCTTTTAAATGATGGGAACAAAGGCACTTTCAGAACTTTTCTTGTCTCAACACTTAGAATGATAATTTGAGAACACTTGAATTTGCACAAATTTCGAATCTTATAGATATTAATATTAGTTCGTAAATTCTAAAGTTAACACCTATTTATAGCCTCTGAAAAACTTAAATTTTAAACCCAATTAACATTTTAAAACGACTATAAATGTTCACTCATTCAAAAATCAAACAGTCAGAAAAACTATATTTGTAGTTGACTACTAGTCTTAGTAGTTGACTACACTGAGTCTATTCAGACTCTGTGAAGTCCAAAACTGCTTAGTAGTCGATTACTAAATGCATTAGTCGACTAATCTGTAAGACTAAAGTTTTTGTAATTTTGAACTAACATTGAGTAGTCGACTATTAAGCCTAGTAGTTGATTAATCTCTAAAATCACAGTTTCTGTAAATTTGAATTGACAATGACTAGTAGACTAGTAGTCGACTAATCTGTAAAAACATAGTTTGTGTAATTTTAACTAAGGATTGAGTAGTCAACTACTAAGGGTATTAGTTGACTACTAACACATAGATATGAGATACATGATATATTTTGAGATGGTTAACTTAGGGGATTTCTATAGTTAACCACACACTAAGCACGTGTTAGTGTGTTCTAAATACTATATGTGTATGTGTTGTGAGTGATCAAGGCTTGTAGATAAATTCTAAGCAAAGAAAATGTAAAATTACAAATTTACAAAGCACATCTTCTTCTTTGCTTGTCTTGTTGCCTTGAACTCATCCCGCACTTAGTTCATATATCTTGAGCATATTGGATGTTGTTATCTGCATTGATATGTTAGTGCATATATAATACGCATAGTAAATAAATTGTTATCATCAAAATTATATCTTGGCGACACGATATCTAACAACATGGGAGTTAGTGAAGCCACCAAGGAGACAGAAAATCATTGTCTGTAAATAGGTGTTCAAGAAGAAAGAAGGAACTCCGGATATAGATTATGTAAGATACAAGACACACTTGGTATCTAAAAAGCTACAGTCAGACCGAAGGTGTGGACTTCAATGAAGTATTCTCTCCAGTTGTAAAACACACCTCAATCCACGTGTTACTTATCATGGTTGCTCATTTTAATTTGAAGCTTGAGCAACTTGATTTGAATACATCTTTTCTACTTGGTGAGCTTAAAGAGAAGATCTTTATACATTAGCCAAATGGGTTCGTTGTTAAAGGTAAAGAAGATCATATGTGTAGGTTGAAAAAATCTCTTTATGACTTGAAATAGTCATCGAGACAGTGGTATTTGAGATCTGATACTTTTATGTTTAAGCATGGTTACTCTAGGAGTAAATATGATAGTTCTGTTTATCATAAAAAGCTTAATGATGATTATTTTATGTATTTATTTTTATATGTTGATTGCAGTTAAAGATATGTCAGAAATCAACGAGTTAAAATCTCAACTCAAACATGAGTTTGAGATGAAGGATTTGGGAGCAACGAAGAAAATTTTAGGGATGGAAATCCACAAGAATAGATGAAAAGTTTTATTCCTATCTCAAGCGAAATACATGAAGAAGGTGTTAGAGAGATTTGACATGCTTGATGCCAAGCCTGTGAAGACTCCGATTGCTGCCCATTTTCGTCTTTCAGCAGATTTGTCACCTCAGACTGAAGAGGATGAGCAATATATGTCTTGTGTTTTTTTATGCTAGTGTAGTTAGAAGCATTATATATGCTATGGTCTGCACCCGTCCAGATATTTCACATATAGTCAGTATTGTGAGTCGGTATATGGATAAGCCTGAAAAGGTCCATCGGCAGGCTGTAAAATAGATACTTAGATATTTAAGAGGATATGCTAATGTTGGTTTATATTTTGACAGAAACACAAATTCAGATTGTAGAATATTTGGCTATTCTGATTCAGATTATGAGGGCGATTTGAATAAGAGACGATCCCTGACAGGTTATATATTCACTCTGTCAAGTAGTGTCATTAGATGGAAGGTGACTCTACAGTCGATGGTTGTCTACCACAGAGGCAGAGTATATGGCAGTGACAAAAGCAGTGGAAGAAGTCATTTGGTTAAGAGGTTTGGTTGAAGATCTCGACTTACATCAAAGTGTTACTATGGTATTTTGTGACAGCCAGAGTGCTACATGTTTGCTGTAAAAGTTGCTGTTTTCATTGCTATCGAATCTATTACAACTTTAGTCGTTACAATAAACTCGAATAAATTAAAAAAGTCGATCTTTTTATAAGATCTCCTTACACAATGAAAATAAAAAGTTTACAACTTTATCAAACAAATGCAGAGATCGTTTATCGGTCTTCTGCTTGCGTGGGTGTCTTTGCCTGTGCCGGGGTTTATCCGTGGACCATCGTCGATCAGATCTGATTGCTAAAAAATTGGGCAGAGCTTCGTCAATCCGCGAGGAGATCTAGAAACTGAAGCGCCTATCTCGGAAAAAGCGAGATATTTGCTCTTCTTAGGATTATCGACAAGGGGTAATGCTAAGGATTGGGTGCAAGTGATGTAGATCTGACGAAGAACTCTCTTGCGTTGAAGAACTAGATCCGATCTCTCCTCCTCCTCTCTTGAAATCTGTGCACTTTAAGTCTTCAATCCGGCAGGGCTTCGCCGAGGCACGAGAATTCCAGATCTGAAAAAATAAGGCCTAAGGCTTGTATTTATAGGCTTGAGAGGATAACGGAGCGGTTAAAAACACTTAAATGGCCAAATCTACCTTGGAGACACCCCAGGGTGTCTCCACTTGATCGGAGACACCCTAGGGTGTCTCCCATTGATCCGAGACACCCAGTCAGAAATTCCGAGACATCCCTGAGGTGTCTCGGAAAATCCGAGACACCCCTGGGGTGTTTCAGAAAATCTAGGACACCCCTGGGGTGTCTCGCATTAACCGAGACGCTCCGTTGAGGTGCATTCGTCCGCTTCCGCTGTAAATTCTTCGTCCGAACTCGGATTTTAGTGATTCGAAGTGCGTTGGAAGTCTGACGAAGAGTTCTATCAGCTCCAATGGTTGGATTATCTGTAGGATGAACGAGACACGAAGGGCGTTGTTCCTTTTGTAAACATCGCGGGGCTCTCGATTAGCCCGTGCCTTCGTTATCCCGAAATTCTGTCAGCTCACGTAGTTCGTCGGTTCACTTCAATCGTTCACCGACATCAATCGAACTCCTGTGGATCGGATAGTGACGTTCATCGTCGTTCTTTAACACTGAGCTGTTCGTGGAGACCTATGGGCAATTTTCGATGCCTACACTACACATTTGATGAAGTATCAGATTTATCATGAAAGAACCAAACATATAGTCATGTATTATTTTATCAGAGAAATTAAAGTCATCAAGATTGAAAAAATTGGTACTGTAGATAATCTAGCAGATATGATGATAAAGCTCGTACCTTCGCGCAAGTTTGAGCATTGTCTCGAATTGCTTACAGTTCAACAAAGTGGATGTTAAGCCGGTAAGTGGCTTCTAGCGAGATAGTAAGAGTGAAGAGAAGATTTTCATATTCAAAGTCAAGGTGGAGATTTGTTATGTTTAACTTTAAATTCAAAACTCACCAACCCTATTACTATTCCACCAACCCAAAATATCATTCTACCAACCCAAACACTGTTCCACTAACCATTTTGAAGGCTATAAATAGAGAAGAGTGGTGAAGGGTTAGAGTATCGAACATAGATGCAGAACAGAGAGAAAAAGAAAGAGAGTTGAAGAAAAAGTAAAACAGAGTTTTCTTTGAGTGTTCTCTTCTTTGTGTGAGTTTAGTGAGATATTAGAGTGATCTCCATTTGTAATCTTCTCTTTTGTGATTAGTAAAGTTCTCTGATGTTTTTGCCCATGGATGTAGGTCATACTGACCGAACCACGTTAAATATTTGTGTGTTATTCTCTTTGTCTTCACTCTGTTTATTCAATGTTGTTATTATCCAATTTTGTATAAACATATTCTGTGTCAGTGAAGCCCCCCGCTGTAATAGCTTTTGATTTGGGTTTAAAATTGCTGTTTGAAACATAAATGAAGTTCAATTGTGTTTGATTCTTTGTAAATGGTTACATTGAAATGAAGCTAAGACCAAAAAGAAAGATATATCACAAAGTAAAATGTAACATAAGGTGTTGTTTCAAATATAGTATTTACCTACTGTAAATCCGACATACTTGCTGGTTTCAGCTCTATACTTTCAGCATATGTATACTTTGGATTTGATTGAAGAATAGATGCCAGAGTGACCTGATCTTAATGAGCCGTGAGAGCTATGGAACCAGATTGCAATTCGATTTAAATACTTCTGTTTATCATATAAACTCAGGAATTGTACTGCATACTGATAAGAGTTAACTTGGAAGCATAAAAGCTGATTACTTTCTGTTTGTTTCTTTTTCCCCTTCTTTTTCAGGTTGCAAATATGATAAGGTTTCTTGTAGATGGCTACAACAAACCTATCCCAGCAATCTTAGAGATTCCTTCAAAGAATCATCCATATAACTCAGCGCATAATTCAGCTCTTTTCCGTGTTAAATACTTGTTTTCAGCTGAATCAGTAGCAAGGTGCTGAGCGGGACTTGCTTTTATGGGTGTTCCTAAATTCTCTACTTTCAGCTAAGTACCCAACCGTACTATCAACGCTTTATGATTTGTTTGCCAATCAAAATGAGATGATCAATTCTTTCTTTCTTTAGATAATTGCAGTTGCTGGATGCAAAATAACTTTGATGGATTCTGAAAATATCTGTTCATCATTTCATCTCACAATATTGTTGCTTGGAAGTTATTATGATGTTTGCTGCTCTTATCTTATTGCATTGCTTCAAGCATTATCCTTTGTTACATTAACCAAACACAAGCATAACACTTACGTTTCTCCTTTTCAAGCTCTCACACATTGATCTACAGCCAAGGGGAGCCATAGATAGGAGTAACAACAGATTTCACTTGCATATACTTATCAAGGGCATGCATTCCGTGATCTCTTCCAAAGCCACTCATCTTATACCCACCGAACGGAACATCATTGTCCACAGCAAAGTAACAGTTGATCCAGATGGTTCCTGCTCGAACTGATCTCGATACTCTGTTGGCTGTGTTTATGTCTTTGGTCAGTATGCCTGCAGCTAACCCATACCTTGTGCTGTTGGCTTTATCAATTGCCTCCTCAATTGTCCTGGTTCAAAGAAAATACGGTGCACAAAATGTAAATACTAAAACTAAATTGGAGGACCAAGATCAGATTTGTCGCCATGATCTGTTTTGTTTAGATGTTCCTTTTCTCTTCTGAATGTTCATGTGTAAACAACGAAGGTGATCTCTGATGAACAAGCAGCAAGGGAGTACTTACTTGAACTTCATGAGAGACATAACTGGCCCAAATATTTCATCCTTAGCTATCTTCATCTCCTCCTGTGGTAAGATTTTAGCACATTTCAGACATCAGATCTCAAGGTTTCAGTATTTAGCTTGTGAAGTTGGTAGTGCATTGTTTACCTTGACATCGGTAAAGATTGTGGGCTCAATGTAGTACCCCTTTTCTCCACAAGACTTTCCTCCTGTAAGCAGTGTTGCCCCTTCTCTCTTGCCAAGATCTATGTAGTGCAGTACTTTCTCGAACTGTGCTTTGTCAATCTGAAGAAGTCCACAAAAAAGAGAAAAAAGTTCCTAGGATGTTTCTGAGTAAACTTCTGGGGAATTTAAACACATGCCACAATATGTTGAGGAAACCATCAACATTTTACTTGGACGTGTTGAACTAGGTGTTACATTCTTGTGCAAGCCAAAAAAAATACCTGAGGTCCCTGGTGAACATTTGGATTGAAAGGGTCTCCAACCACCCAGCTCTTCGCTTTCTCTGCTATTTTCTTCACAAACTCATCATAAATTCCTTCTTGTACATAAATCCTAGTACCGGCCACACAAATTTCTCCCTAACACCAATTTTAAATTCAGATAAACAATGAAGGGTCTATGTCAACATGTTGTTGGAAAGGGCGAATACCTTGTTGGAAAATGCTGTCATCCTCGCGAGATCGACAGCAACGTCCACATCGGCATCATCAAAGATGATGACAGGAGACTTGCCACCGAGTTCAAGTGATACATGCTTCAGATTGCTCTTAGCTGCTGCCTCCATTACTAGGCGTCCTACTTCGGTCGATCCAGTGAAACTAATCTGAAACACAATAAAGTTTTCTCTGGTAAGCTCTGCAGTGAAGTCCAGATTGGTTTATGAATGAACATGACATCTGGTTCTTGAATGATAAAGTATTTGACGGGAAAAAGTGACAATCATAACATGCATTGAATGATTTGGTCTGATCAAATTTAGCAAACACAGCTACAAAGTTGTATAGAATATTTTAGGAGATGTAAACTTTATCTAACATGTATGTTAGATTTTTTTGGTGTCACTGACCTTGTCGACGTCCATATGAGATGAAAGAGCAGCACCAGCCGTANTTACAGCAAATTACAATTATAATCATTGAGAGTAAATATAGATAATACAGAACGATGAGACTTTACCTCTGAATGTTGGTGAAAAACTGGCTAAATGCACTTTTTTCCAACTAAAATGAACTTTGACATTCTAATATCATGTAACTAAGGAAACACGCAAGAGAAAACAAAAATCACCTTCTTTGCCAATTGAGCATAAAGAAGTGCAGATAGCGGAGTTTGCTCCGCAGGCTTCACAACCATTGTGCATCCAGCAGCGAGTGCAGGGCTAACCTTGGTGAAGAACAGGTTTGTCGGATAATTCCAGGGTATAATGTGCCCAACAACTCCGATGGGCTCCTTTAACGTGTACCCCTGGTACGCTCCTGATATTTTTAATGTCTCTCCATGGATTTTATCTGCAGCGCCTGCGTAGTATCGGAGTAAATTCACTGCACCTGGGATATCCATGGCCTTGCCAATTGTAAGTAATTTTCCTCCATCGAGACTATCTAGTGTGGCCGCTTCTTCTATGTGTTGCTCAACCAAATCGGCGAATTTCACCAGGATCCTTCCCCGCTCCTACAATAAAAACTCGGATTAGAGAAGCTTAGGTAATGATTGTTTTATAACGATTAATACAAAGAAAATTGTCGTACAAAGCCAGACATGCGAGGCCACTTTCCATGATCAAAGGCTTCTCTTGCAGCCTTCACAGCCAAATCTATGTCTTCCTTATCGCCTTCTGCAATGTTCGCTATCACATCTCCTGTGCGCGGATCTGTCGTCTCAAATGTTTTTCCTGTAAAAACCAACAAATTTTGAAGAACTAGAAAAATATATCTTTGAAAGCTTTATCGTAATTTAATTTCATTGTGGCTACTTGTTTTATTCTGTTAATTTCTGTTAGGATACATGCCAATAAGAATGTGGAATCACAGAATAAAATCAGCAGACAAATTCAAGCACAGTACTCACAGACAAATCCTATGTAATATTCTAATAATCCTCATCTGCAATCAACATGTCATCAACATAAATTAAGAGTATTACATAGGATTCGTCATATCTCTCGATGAAGCAGCAGTGGTCTATGTCGTATTTGAGAAAACCATTCTCCTTCATAAAGTTCTCAAACTTCATGTACCGCTGTCGTGGAGCTTGTTTCAGAGCATACAAGCTCTTGCGCAGGCGACACATGAGGTCCTCGCTGCCTCATTCCTCGAAGCCCATTGATTGATGCATATAGATCTCTTCTTCCAAATATCCATGAAGGAATATCGTCTTCACATCCATCTGTTCTAGATTGAGATCTTGAACTGCCACAATGCTCAGCACAGTCCGAATCGTGGTCAACTTGACGACGAGAGTGAAAACGTCGGAATAGCCTATCCCTGCTTTCTGCTCATAGCCCTTCACTACAAGCTTTGCCTTGTAGTGTCTCCATCCATCGGCTTCATCATTGACCCGATAAATCCACCGATTGTGAAGAGCCTTTCGCCCTCTTGGAATCTTTTCGAGCTCCCAAGTCCCATTCTTCGTTAAGGATTTCATTTCTTCCTCCATGGCAGACTCCCACTAGCCCCGAGCTTTGCCGGTCTGTTGTACCTCATCATAACTCTCTAGCTCCCACTGTCAGTCAGGAGAAGATAATTCATGGTGGAAAGGTACCTCTCTGGCACCCTCGGATTTCTTGGAGCTTTGCGAACTGCGATCGGCAGCTCTGCTAGATCCTGCTGCTGTGCATCCGACATGTTCTCTTGGTCTCCATCTTCTATGTTGATAGGTATCTCACTGTCATCCTTACTGTCAGCAATATCTAGGAAAAGAGGGGGAGATAGCTGACTCCCACTCACCTCTTTGATCTTGTATACCGCATCCTCATAGAACACGACGCCGCGACTACGCACCACCTTGCGCGCATCGTGATCCCAAAAATGGTACACATACTCATCTCCTTCATAGCATATGAAAGAGAGCTTCTTTGACTTTGGATCAAGCTTTGACCGATCTGCAAGATTGGTCATGACATAGGCGTCACAACTAAATATTCGTAAGTACTCTATCTTCAGCGTCTTTTCGGTCCAAGCCTCTTCAGGTATCCCATAACTGAGAGCTGCGGATGGCCCGCAGTTGATCAAGTATGCAGTTGTATTCACAGCATCGGCCTAAAAACTCTTGGGCAATCCAGAGTGGATCCTCATACTTTTGGCGCGCTTCAAGATAGTGCGATTCATACGCTCCGCCACTCCGTTATGCTGAAGTGTGCCTGGAACGGTCTTCAGTCTCCTAATCCCATGGGACGAGCAGAAGTTCTCGAACTCCTGCCTACAATACTCGCCTCTATTTCAGACTTCAGACACTTCAGCTTATTGCATGTTTTATGCTCCATACTGGCAAGTCACTTCTAAAAGATGATAAAAATATCTGACTTGTGCTTCAAATAGAACACATATAATTTTCTAGTAGCATCATCAATAAAAGTGATAAAGTAAAGAGAGTTGCCAATAGATGGGACTTGCGTAGGTCCCCACACGTTGGTATGCACCAACTCTAATTTTTGCAGTTTTGGAGCCAATCCGGTCTTGTTGAAGCTCGCATTCTTCCATTTGCCTAGGATACAGTCCTCACAAAAAGTCAAATCAATCTTGCTCAGACCCAGAAGCCTCTCTCCCACGATCATAATCTATATCCCCTTCTCACTCATGTGGCCAAGTCGTCGATGCCTAGTCATGCAATTGGCGTATGATGATGATGTTTGTCCTGCGGCAAGCAAACGGTCGATCTTCCCATTGGCGATGTTGAGAGACCCCTCGTGTTTACCGTATGCTATCACTAGGGCACCTTTGGACACCTTCTAGCTTCCCTGCTTGAAGGATACTTTATAACCGGAGTCTGTTAGTTGCCCGACTGATATAAGATTCTGCCTGAGATCCGGTACATGCCGAACGTCGTTCAGCGTCAAGGTGGTCCCGCCCTTCATCTTGAGGGTATAATTTCCCTTCTTGGAAACCTTGCAAGGTTGATCGTCACCAAAATAGACTGTCCCCAAGTCTTTCTTCACGAACGATGAATACAACTTTTGTTGTGAGGTTGCATGGAAAGATGCGCCAGAGTCAATAACTCACGCATCGCTCTTGTCTTCAAGAGATAGGAGAAGCACATCTGAATCCATCTCGTGTATGATATTGGCTGCACCGTCAGCCTGATCATCCTCTGCTGATGCTGGAACAGAAGCTCTGTAGCCCCGTGCAAAGTGACACTTCTTTTCATATTTGAAGCACTTTCCTTCACCGTAACCATTCGTGTCCGGCCCTTTAGACATCCCCTTTGGAATTTGATCGGCCTCGTCATCCCCTACCCTTCTTCTGCACACGTCCTCATGCCTCGACATGTAGAGCACTCCCACTGCTAGAGGCATCGGCTCCTGAGACTTTGCGGTGAGATTCTTCATCTAGAATTGCCTCAATCACTGTGTCGAGCTTCATCTTATCATTGGCATTGGCATTGCTCATCGCCATCACTAAATTCTCCCACAAATCTGGTAGACGTGAAAGTAGTAGAAGAGATTGGATCTCATTGTCAAACTTGAGATCCACTGCAGCAAGCTGTTGCACCACATCTTGAAATTCGTTCAAGAAGTCCGCCACGCGAGCTTCTTACTGCATCTTTAGATTAAATAGCTTCTTCATCAGGTACATTTTATTTGAAGCAGACGACTTCTCATACAGCGCCTCCAAGGTCTCCATCAACTCCTTGGTGGTGGTCGCATGCGAGACGTTGTAAGTCACATGTTGGTGAATGTTAAGCCTGATGGTGGCAAATGCTTTACGATCAAACACCTTCCACTTATCATCGTCCATCTTCTCAGGTTTCCCCTCTACTCCTTGAAGGGGTAGGAAGAGATCTTTCTGGTACAAATAGTCTTTTATCTACATCCTCCAATACCTGAAATTTTGACCGTCGAACTTCTCAATCCGAAGCCTATTGTCTTTAACTATAGATCCCATGGTGAAAGATTCCGTCTTTTCTCAAACCATATTTGTGAATAGTAACAATACTTATGAATAATATTGTACTCGTGAATAATATCTAGTGTCTTTAAAGAGTAAATGACAATCTAACTTATTTTCTGATGTGAAGGATCCACTTTTAGTGGCAGGCACAGAGCATACGATAAACAGATATACGTACTCTAAGTCAAGCTCTAATACCAGTTAATAGGATACACGCCAATAAGAACGTGGAATCATAGAATAAAATCAACAGACAAATTTATTCATAGTACTCACATATATAACGTCGTTTACTCTTACGGAGCTACTCCACGGTGCAACGCAACGCCTAATTTCTTTATATTCCTTTCCGAGGTTACAAAGAAAAGATCGAAGAGAAAACCCTCTCTTGATCAAGATACTCTCCAAGAATTTTCACAAACTCTCTATATTTTCGCTCTCACTCTTCTATACGAGGAGTTGTTTCTGGGATGAATTTTTTAAGAGTTTTGGGTCTATTTGTAGTGTTTGGAAAAATATTATGTGCTGATAAAATAATATTATTTTACTGTACACCTTTCTTTTTTCAAACTCTGCGGTCGCTTTCGGCCCCGCCACTTTTTTTATTCAACATTAGCGGTGGAATTAATCCGCCACATTTAATTTCATTGTGGCTAATTGTTTTATTCTGTTAATTTCTTGGAAGCAGTTTTCTATAAAATTGGTGTTTAGTGCTTCTCTTAGGTTACCGCTAGGGCTGTCCATCCGGGCCGGCCCGGTCCGGCCCGGAAATCCGGGCCCGGGCCGGGCAAAACCGGAGCCCGGACCCGGGCCCGACCGGGCCGGGCTCCGGGCCGGCCCGGATTTTTTTATTTTTATATTTTTTTTAAAATTTCAAAAAAACAAAAAAACATAAAAATTACATAAAAATTATATTTATATAATAGTATATATATATATTTATACTCTTATATAAATATAATTATATTATATGTACATATAAGTTTATGTTTATATATATGTATAGATATATAAATATATATTTATACTCTTATATGTATTTATACTATTATATAAATATACTTATATATGTACATATAAGTTTATGTTTATATATGTGTATATATAAGTATACTTATATACTAAGAGAGAGAGAATATAAATATATATATAAGAGAGAGTATACACTGTACACATATATAAGAGAGAGCATACTTATACATATATATAATTATATAAGAGATATAAACATATATAAGAGAGAATATACTTATATTTATATATACTTATATACTAAGTAGCCCAAAGTATTCATGTCATTCAATATATGTATATGTATATATATACACACACACACTGACACACATATACATATATTATACATAAACAAATTGTAAATACTTATAGTAATTACATAAACAAATTGTATTATACATAAAAACACACACACATATAAACTTATATATACACACATATATTATACATATATAAAGAGATATACTTATATCTTAACTTATAATATATTAACAATATGGATATACATTATATATATATATATACTATAATTATATATATATATATATATATATATAATATATATATATTATACTATATAATATATATATATATATATATATATATATATATATATATATATATATATATTATATATATATATATATATATATATATATATATAAAAGAGATATATACATAAATAAGAGAGAGTATACTGATATATACTTATATAAGAGAGTATACACTGTATACTTATATATATATATTTATACATATATTATATATATAA